TCCATCTAGACCTGGTATAGAGCTGCAAGAAATTTGTTTAAAATTTAACACATAGTAACATCAAAACAAACAGGCACTGCCATGGCGACAGGACCTAAACAAAGGCTGCAGATACCCTGGCTGGCGTCACCGCCCAGAGCCCTGGCAACCACCCCCAAACAGAAGAGCTGCTCTTCTCTACCAAGTCAGCAACTTTGAGGTCTCGGCCCGTCCTGCAGGATCCTGTGGCCCTACCCAGGGCACTGTCCACCTCTCCCACCCAGGGACAAGGGCGTGAGTCCCTCCTACTGTAACCTGTGGTATCCAGCAAGCCACCCAGGCAGGGGGTTCCCTGATCCCTTCTGGGGGCCCCTGTAGCCACCACAAACTGGTCTTCACTGTGTAGTGGCCACAACCCCTCACCGGGCCAGGCCACAGTTACCCGTTCTCCCATTCCATGTCCCCCAAAGTGACCTGAGGCAGGGACACCAGGGGACCACGAATAGTCCTGGGCTCTGCAATGGGGGGCCCACCATGCCCAGGAGCTGAGGTCCACGCCTCAACCCTGAGTCCAAGCAGCTGACATCCTGCCTCCCAGGATCGGCATGGGGAGCAGATGGAGTCCTTCCTGGTGCCCACTCACTCCTTGAAGCCAGTGCCCCCCCATGTGGGTAATGGGGTGCACATGCCTCCTGCATAAAGGGTTTCTGGGCTCGTCTAGGGCAGCTGTTTTCTGAACGAGCCACCACCACACTTGCCACCTCTCCCCCTGCAAGGATATGGGCAGCCTGAGTTCTACCTGTGTGCACCTGCATGTATTGTGCGTGTGTGTGTGTGTGTGTGTGCGCGTGCACTGTGAGCTCATGTGCACAGGCAGGTCTGTGTACACATATGTGAGCTCCTGTGTGCACATGTGTGTACATGCCTGCATGCAATAGCTTAAAGGCAACTTACTGCAGAAGGAATTAAGAGCGAGAAAAGAAGAATTGTCCCCACCTGCCCCAACACTTTGCATGTCTAGGCCAGTGCCAAGGGTGTGGGAACCTGTGGCACTCCTTGGTGGGGTGACCTGTCCCTGGACACAACACTCATCTCACCTGCCTCCAGCCCTTCCGTAACATCCCCCACAGACACAGCTCTCGGGGTTCCTTTGCTCCTGGGTCTGTCCCTCTTTCTCTCCTGGACACACTGGGTTTACAAAGACCAATGCTAAAGGCCTGGGGACCTGCCCAGGAATTGGACAGAGGGCCCATGCTGGGCCTCATCCCAGGCCCTGCCACAGCTCCTCCTCCTCACCTGGCCCAGCTCCTGCTCCACCTCACAGGTTCCCACTTCCTCTTCCCCTCCACACCTGTGCCCTCCTCCTCTTCCTCACCTGCATCCCACCTCCTTACCGGCAACCACCCCCTTCCTTCAATTCCTGGCCCCACACCCTTCTCTAACCCTAGGCCTTGAGAAGGCACAGCCTCACAGGAGATGGAGCGTCCACCAGGATCCCATACCCTGTGCTATCGTGTCGTTGGGGCTCTGGCCCGACTGTAGTAAATCTGCAATGTTCCTCCACCTGTTCAGGTGAGACTGAGAGGCCGAGTCCCTCTATCTGGCCAATGCCAGTCTCCTGTGCTGGTGGTGACCAGGTCCTGATGGCTGGCCCTCAGGGACCACTTGTGGGGCCACCTCTACCCTGCCCCAGCCAGGCCACCCCGTGCAACCTCCCACTTGGTGGGAATGAGCCAACCCCAGGAGGGCTGGCCCGTGGCTCCATGGTGACTGGCCCGTCCACCTGGCGTGGCTGTCTGGATGGTATGTCAGGCTGGGGAGTTGGGGAAACCTCACCATGATGGAGATACACCAAACATTTCCACAAGCAAAGTGGGGACATGAAGTCATAGGCTGTGGGGGTGCAAAGAGAAACTCTTTTTCACTGCCTCTGTGCTCAGAGGAGGACGGAGGGAGGGAAGAGCCAGGCCATCAGCAGGGAGGGCATGGGGGCATCTGAGATGAAAGATGGCAAGGTCACAGCAACATATAACTAAAGGATCACACCAGCCTCGATGGACACAGGCCAAAAATAGACTGAAATAAAGCCATTTTCTGGCAACAAGTATGACCTGGATAGAGAGGGCTGGACGCTTGTTGGCCTTGGGGGTGCTGTTAATTTCCCCACGTGTGCTCATGGGTGCGGAGGGCAGGAGAATATTTTCATGCTCCAGAGATGCCCGGTGGAAAGGGAAGCAGGTGTGTGTAACCTTTACTGGATACACTCCCAATGTCCAGCAGAAGGATGTGTGCAGGAGCACATGTACATGCACACACACATGTGTCTTCACAGATGCACAGGAACATACACCTGCATGCACACAGATGTATGTGCATACGAGGAAGCACACGAGCATACTGCTCACAGTCACTGGGCCACAGCTGAAGACTCAGGTGCTAACTGCTCTGTCACCCACACTCTTCTTCACGTGCCATCATTCCCAAAGGAAAGGGGAGCCCCACAGAGGGGCCGCGGGCAGGGGCAGGCGAGATGCAGGTCAGACCTGGGGGACAGGCTTCAGAGCGGCACCTCTCAGGCTCAGCCCACAGTGGGCCAGGAGCTCTGCCACTGAGACCTCTCCAAGCTCCCGAGGGCAGGGCAGTGCCCCCCTCCCCCGGTCCCAGCTCACCCCAAGGCAGCCTGCTCTGGTTCCAATCCCTGGGCATCTGATTCTGGGAAGGGAAGGATCCTGAAGCATCACATTTCCTCACAGCCCGTTAAGATACCAAATCCACCAGGAGACCCCGGATTGCCGCCTGGCTGACCACAGGCCTTTGGGAAGCTGGCTTTGTGGTGAGAGAGCCCAGCTCACTTACTTGATTTTGCTGAATACGATGTCCACGTCGGTGACAGTCACGTTCTTCCCATCGATCACCTGGCAGTCCTTGCACAGTTTTGACCAGTTCTTGCCATGCATCTCCTTCCCGGTGGCTCTGGTGTCCCCATGCACGGCGAACCGCCGGAAGGCCTCCTCCAGGGCACTGAGCTCCTGGGCCGAGGCGGCCGCCCCCTCGTTGGCACCTTCTGACTCCAGTGACAGCCTCTTAGCTGCTTTGTCCTTTGCAGAGTCCGCTGGGGATTTGGGGGGTGTCTTGTTGGCAGCCTTGGTGGGCTTGGCCTTGCTGTCGGCCATGTTTCTGGTGGAGAAAGGAGAGAAGAAAGGGGTTATTCTGTTTCTTCGGGGCCGCTGCCCAAGGCTCCTCCAGCTCACTCACAGGACAGGAGGCTGGCAGGCACCCGGGATGTAGCAGGGCCCCTGGGTCCCTTGGAGCCGAGCCCTGGGCATGAGGGGGCAGAACCCCCGCCCAGGGGCCACAGCAGGATGGTGAGCACTTGTCCTGCTGCTGGACAGGACACTGCCCCGCAAGCACCAGCACCCTGCCAGCCATTGCTGGGTTAAGGACCCCAAATAGTCAAAGCCATCCGCAATTGGCAGGGCCATGGGTAGCGCACCCAGCTCAGACACCTGGGCTCAGGGCCCCTTCCTTGTCACTCCCCCATCACGGTCTCCTCCCTGGGCCACACCTGCTGAGTGACTCCCCAGAAAGACATCCTTCTTGGGGTCCATAGAGTGATGCCATCCTTGGGGAGGGGGTATCCAGAATCGGCTGCTACCCTCACCTCAGGGCTGAGCCTGCTGCCCCCCTGCGAGTGGGAGAGGATACACCCCAGGGCGTCAGCCAGGCGCAGGGTGCAGGGGGGACTGCATGCACTGGGGGAAAGCCACCACTGAGGGTCCTGTGTGGGGAGATGGGGAGTCTGCACTGACCTGCCCGTAAGGCTCTGCCTCTGTGAGGTGCCAGATCCCCAAAGCTGGGCTGGGTCCCCGGGGGCTCAGAAGATAGGAGCCCGTGCTGCCTCTAGCGGGTTTCATGAGCACAGGACGCAATGCAGCCATGCAGCCTCCCACTCTATCAGGCCATGGCCAGGGCAAGACCCCGAGATGCCCAGCCACATGTAAGATCCCCATGGGTCCCTGAGGAGTGGCTCATCTCTGTCTGCCTCCCTGAGAAAGGTCACTGCTGGGGCTCAGTGAGAGGACAGAACTCGGGACCCACTGGCGCACAACACACAATCCGGGGGCAGTCTGCAAGCTTGCTCACAGCGCTGCCATTCACTGAACATCCCCAATCTATCTTCTCAACACCCTTTAGGACAGAGGAAGATGGGCGACTGGGCATTGTGGGGGGTCCTGGTGGCCCTGCTGAACTCAAGATCCTATAGATTCCCAACAGGAAGAAGTCAAATGCCCTCCACCATTGGACTGGATGTTCTCAGGGGCCTCGGGGGCTGTGGGCCCACTCTGTCCCCCATCCTCTGTGATGGCGCAAAAAGTGCACCTGCTGCTGAGAGAGATCCTGGACCCCCGGTGATGGAGCACAGCCTGTTCTGGGTGTGAGTGAGAGCTGGACAGCACTTCCGGCTTCCCACAGGGCTCAGGGGCGGGGCAGGAGCACTATCCCTCCAATAATCCAGTGCCAAGGTGAGGAGTCAGGTGGCGGCAGAAATTGCTGACATTATTTCTCTGTCTGAAACAGGAGCTTCTTGAGGGGTCGGCTGAGCATCTCTTCAGCACTCGGTGCCCAGGAAGGAAACGTGGCTCAGCAGTTACTAGAAGCATGAGTTGACTTGTGGAAATGTGCACGTGTGTTCAACTTGGTCAAAGAGGAAGAAACCTCCTGTGATGCTTCCAGCTCAGTGCATGGTCCAGGAAGCACCGTATCGTGAGAAGAAAGCACCCCTGTGTGCATTGGGGATCGCTGGCTCTGGTGGAACTGTGGGCATTCTTCTTGTGCTTTTCTGTATTTTGCAACTTTCCTAGCAGCACTATTTTATAGTAAGAACCTGGATGGGGGAAGCCAGGGCTCCTCCCCAAAGCCCCCCCCCCCGCCCCCACACACACACCCCGCTCAGTGTCTGGGGCTGAGCCAGCCCTCCAGGGAACCAACAGCAAGAGGCGGGACGGGGCACCCCACCAATGACAAGAACAAAACGAATTCCTGTGAAGTGCTCTGAGCACATGCTGAACAGATACATTGATCCTGGAACGCAGAGTGGGCTCTCTGAGAGCCTCAGCCCCCAGGGATCCCGCGGATAAAGGACACCAGGGGCGGCCGGGAGGGGGTGAACACCAACCTGCTCAGGCACCGCACATCCCTCGGCCCAACTCGTGCTGGGCATGGGGCTTTAACGAGTCCATGAAAAAGTGAGAGGGATGGAATAAGATGTGAAAAAGTTCTGCTGTCGTAGCTTTACTTTCCAGCTGGATACGGGCAATAAAGAGGTAAACAAACATAAATGGTATGACATCAGGTAGTGAGAGGTGCACCGAGGAGAATGAAGGCAGGTAAGAGGGCAATGGTGAGTGTGATTTTAGACCAGGGGTGGGCAAACTTTTTAACTCGAGGGCCACAATGGGTTCTTAAACAGGACCGGAGGGCCGGAACAAAAGCATGGATGGAGTGTTTGTGTGAACTAATATAAATTCAAAGTAAACATCATTACATAAAAGGGTACGGACTTTTTTTTTTTTTTTAGTTTTATTTATTTCAAATGGGCCGGATCCGGCCCGCGGGCCGTAGTTTGCCCACGGCTGTTTTAGACGAATTGGAGGGGGAGCCTGAGTGGAGGCTGGATCTGCAAGAAGGCGCCGGCATGTGGCTGCTATGCATGAAGCATCTGCCACGGATACTGCCCTGAATCCCACCGGACAGTTGAGGTTGCTCCCATACTGAAGACCTCACCTGGTCTCCACCTGCCACCCTGGGCAGCAGAAGAAAGGGGCCCATGCTTTAAAGGTGCTGAAGAAAAGCCCTTTCAGACCACGGCCCCTGGGGTGAGGGGCCGGACGGCTGCGCACAGATGAGCTGGGGGCTCTGTCACACTTGTCAAGCAGGCTGTTGGTGGCAGTCAGTGCGGCGAGAATCCACGGTAACCCTGAGGAGGGCGCAGGAGGCCCGCCCAGAGTGGGCAGGCAGCACTGGGAGGGGCACCTGGGGGGAGAGTTTTGGAAGAGCAGACAGACGGGGTCAAGGAGGCCAGGAAAGTCCAGGAAATGAACAGGAGCCTCTAACCTCAGCCCTGGAGGCGGCAGGCCCACGGCCTTTCTCACCAGGTGGCGGGCGGCTTCAACCTGCCATGCTTCCTTCTGGAGCTGTGGCTGCAGGCGGTGTGCCTCTGCCTTCAATGCCATTTTAGGGCTGTGTCTGTGTGTGTTGATGGGTTGTCACTTAGGATCAGCTCAGAGACGTTTGAAGTGACGGTAGACAGAAGGGCCCTGGAGCAATGACCCAAGTGGGAGGTGGGTGGAGCAGGGCACCTCCCCTCCCCTGCCACACCCTCGCTGCCCCTGCTGCCCTCACCCTTGCCAACCATTCAGTCTGTGACCTTGAAGCTGCAGAGGTAACTCGGCCACAAGACCCAGAACACAGCTCTCTGTTCTGGGTTTCCGCTTTGTTTTACTATGAAAATGCATGATCATAGTAAAATATTTTAAAAATTACTTTAACAAAAATAACAGAAGGAGTTAGCCCCTATGTGTGGTGGGGGAAGATCTCCAAGACTATTGTTTGTTGTGTGGAGACGCAGGGCATGGGAGAGCAGAAATCACGCACCCCACTCTGGGAAAGCCAACCATGGGGACTAGAGAGAGAAGCATTGGAGTTGCTAGAAAGACTGAGGGAGGCTGGGGTGGAGGGAAGGGGTCACATCCTTCTGTTTGAATCGCCCCAGTAAATCCATGTGCTAGTTCCACAATGATCTACACTAATAAAAGAGAAAGATGCAAATTGACTGCACCTTCACGACACCCATCAGCCAATCAGGAGTGAATATGCAAATTAACACAACAAAGATGGTGGGTTAATTTGCATATGCAGGCACTGAGCAGGAGTTCTGCACCACCCCAGCTGCTCTGGGTCTCTAGGCAGCGTGGGAAGGCGGAAAGGCGGCTCCAGAGCGAAGGCGGTGCTGGCAGCTAGGGGAAGGAAGGCCCATTCTTGCACGAATCTTCGTGCATCGGGCCTCTAGTGTAATAATAATACATTTAATTTAAAAAGAAGCCGAGGGCTCCAGCAGAGGTCTACTGGGATACAGGGGTGTCCAGAGAGCCCTTCTGTACCAGTGATGACAGCCTGCATGCAGGGGCCTCCCTCCAAGGGCCAGCCTCCAGCACCCCACCTACCTGGCTCCTCTCCTCCTTCCCCCCTTCCCATGGAGGCTGTGGTTCCCCTCTGCTTTCCTGTGCTCACGGTTTCTGGGGAGTGAGGTGAGTCTGAACCCAGGGTGGCCTTCCATGCCCATTCCCACCTGTGCCATCCACTTTCCACATAATGAAAACTAAAGTCACTTAGAGGAAGAGGCTGCCAGGAAGTCAAAATGCCAACCCACCGAATGAAGCATTCTCTGAGGTGTGGCCTGTATTCTCAGGTGGGTACTGTGTTTCCAGGTGTGTACTCTGCACCCCCAGGTGAGTATCCTGCATCTCCAGGTGTGTGCCCTGTATGCCCAGGTATGTGTCCTGTGTTGCCAGATGTGTGTCCTGCATTACCAGGGGAGCTGACCCCTCCCTGGCCAATATTCCCCTTACAGGCACAAGGCAGTGTAGAAGGCAGTGTAGGTAGAAGTGGAGACTGATCAGGTATCACTCCGACTGGCCACAGACATGGCAGCCTGGATGCCCAGCAGGCTCTGTTCCTGTTTCTTCAATATAAGGATTTTCCAACAGCTCAGGAAAGCCCCAGTGAGTCAAGGTCTGATTTATTTCATGGTCCATGGCCTCTGGCTCCAGGTGAAAACCCAGTCTCTCTCCTGGGCCTCTCTCATCTGCTTCCCTGGAAAGACCTCCAACTCTTAGGGATGTTGTGTGTGCTTGGGGGGTGGAAAGGGAGGAGGAGGAATGCACAGAGGGGCAGGGAGGCAGACGGGAGGTGGGACCTACTTTCCCAGCCAAGAGCTGGGCTCCCTTGGGACCCCTCTCCTGCTGGCCTCAGGGGTCCCTGGGCAGGAGAATGAGAGCTGTGTCCTTCCCCAACCCTGGGCCTTTGACCAAGCAGCCCCCACAGGATCCCTCCTGGCAGGGACCACACCAGCAAGCCCCTCAGCAGCTCTGGGCTCTGATGGTGTCAAACAGGACGGC